AAGATGTTCTGTTAGGTTTTGCAGTGCAGAAAATAAGGAAATGTGTGTTTTGTAGATTATTTCTTTGTTGTAACAACGCTTCTTGGTGATAAATCTTATAGCAGCAGCTGGAGGTACCAGTAGCTTAAAACAAGAGTCAATAGTAACAACAAAACAATCTGTTTGGCAGAAAAGATTTGGCAAATTTTCCACGTGCATAACCCACATACTCAGCTCTACTGCTCATCCTACAAATGCATATTCCTTACAAATGTGGCACCATTTAAAAGRGAAATGAACAGGCTTTCCAGTGATATAAGWTTTATTACCAAGAAGCATTGTTACAACTGAGTAATATCTACTAAACACACATTTCCTATTGCACTAAGTCTGTTTGTTTATTTGCCAGTTAGCAGTTATTAGTTGATTTAGATGSAKCAGCRTTTCTCATCAGATTCTATCTCTGTTTTCTGCACTGCAGGTGATAAGAAATACTTTATGGGCTCCAAGATGTCAACATTAGATGCCACAGTGTTCGGGCATCTAGCTCAGGCTATGTGGACTCTACCCGGGACACGACCAGAGCAGCTCATCAAAGGTCAGCATCAGTTCAGTAACAGGTTATAGTTTTTTTCACAGTAACACTAATCGTTTCATGTGTGTGCTGTTTTTGTGGTGTGAACTATGAYCTTGTACCTGCAGTACATAGACATAATGTTTGTTGACACGCAGTACCTTCACAAGAGCAAATATGGCGTAAACTTCTTTCTTTCTTTTTTCTTATTTTAACAACAGCTTCAGTAAAAGTTCATTTTTATTGCAATATTCCTCTGAGTGCAAATCAAAAAGTCCAAATGAAGTCAGGTTAAGAGGGTCAGTGTTTGGCTCGACTGGTTTCCTGTTTCAAGACAGACCATGATTTTAAATAGTCACTGTGTGTCAAAAGCACTGCTTTTCTCCCTCACATCTTCTCGGCACTTTAAATGCTCTTATTTTAGTTGCCAGAGAGTGCAGATATTTTTCAACTTGAATTCAATTCAAATTCATAAATACTTACTGGTAATTGATCCCAGAGGGAAATTAGGTGTTCTTGTAGCTTATTTAACTAAAGAATTATTGTAGATGTTGATGGCTTTGGGCAGGAAAGATCTTCTGTAGGGGTCTTTTGTTTTTGAAGGTTTTATTTAAACAACCTGCTGGATTTCTGGTGTTGTAAGCGACCATCCATCCATCCATCCATCCATCCATTTTCTTCCGCCTATCCGGGGTCGGGTCGCGGGGGCAGCAGCTTCAGAAGGGAGGCCCAGACCTCCCTTTCCCCAGCCACTTCTTCCAGCTCCTCCGGGGGAACTCCAAGGCGTTCCCAGGCCAGGCCATCTCCAAGTCCTTCCATGGCAATTATTTTTAGTTAGCATATAGCTAAAGTCTAACAATGGTTATATAATAGTAAATGGACTGTACTTACAGCGGGTAAAATAAGTATTGAACACGTCACCATTTTTCTCAGTAAATATATTACTAGAGG